GAACAAAGTACTCAATGCAAATATTTCATTGATTAAGATCAGGAGTTAGTGTGCGTTGTTTGTGTTCCCTTTATTTTTTTGAGCAGTGAGTATATATATATATATGTGTTGTCAATTTTGACTTGATGGCGAGTGGTTAGAAGGTCACTGCTTCACGTCTACATGATGTAATGACAGAACTTTGCAGCTGATGTTGAGTCGTCACCACACAGTGTTGAGGGGGAGAAAAAACGCGTCTCTCCTGCTTCTCCAGGCCGTCTGATTCGTTGTATCCGCTGCCCGCTGGCATACCACCCCGGCGACAGCTGCTTGGCGGCAGGCAGCGTCATCCTCACCCATCACATCATGATCTGCAGCAATCACAGCAGCGCCAAGAAGAACGGCCTCCTCAGCTCCCCGGTCAATGTCGGCTGGTGCTTCCTGTGTGCCAGAGGTGAGCTTTCACAACCACCCACACCCACCCCACCAACCCAACCACAGCCGCGAATAAGTACCGACCTCTAACGTCACCACGAGTAACGATTTGACCTCAGCTGGCTTCAGATTCCTTCCTGTGGCTTCAGTTTCTTTATAAACACTTTTTAACGCGACCACTCCTGCAGTAGCACCTCTGAGTTTAGGTTCTGAATGTTTCGTTTGGTTATTTTCTGTTTCATGTTGGATATTTTTGTTCATGAACAGCAGTTTTGTGAAATGTAATGTCTGTTTCCCATCACAGTAATGATTGTGGCAGTAACTCAGGCTGTCACTGCACTCAACAAAAAATCTGTCCTGGAAGCTGATCAGGATTTTCATTGTAGTATTTGAGCCACTTTTATTCAATTGGGTTTATTTATTACACGTAACACTAAGTTGAGTGCATTGTTTGGCCTCTTTAAGTTGGGACAAAGTTTTTATWTTTTTTTCTGCGTTACAACTCAGTGTGAGCGTGTGCGTGTGTGGTTGTGCATATGTGTTTCTCTTTTGTGTGAAAAGTTTGGGTAATTTTCTAGTTTGACTGCGGTTCACCCCCGTCTCTTCCTGTGTGTCTTGTGTAGGACTGTTAGTGCAAGACCTTACTGACACCATATTAAGTTCATATGCCTATAAGTCCCACTACCTTCTGACTGAGTCAAATCGTGCTGAGTTGAAATTACCTATGATTCCCTCTCCTTCGTCAGCTACCAAAAAGAATGTTGGGAAAGGTAACTGAACCGTTTTTCTCTTTCTCCTTTGTCCCACGGGTTTGTGTATGTGTTGTGCCTGCTCCCCATTCTGATTCAGTTTTTCCCCTTCCCCCTTTTTTTGCACTCATTTTTTTTTCCAAGCCTTGAAGTGCAAAATTAATTAACTGATTTAAGCATGCAGTTCATTTTAATGCAGAGAGATGCAAAGTAACTTCAGCCAAGTGCAAGATGAAAACAGGCCTCATGCAAGAATTTTTTGTGAGATTTTTGTTCCAGATTTTCATTTTTGGGAGAGCACAATCAAAGTTAAACTTGCTGTGTTTTAAGGCAAAAAATGACATGACAATAAGCCAACTTTGGGGTCTCACATTTGTTCCTTCTGCTTTGTTAGAGTTCAAAACATTTCTGAAATCATTAAGTTGTATAAATGGCAAAAAGAAATGTTTTGATGCCTTGGAAACTAAAATTATTAAATACTAAATAAAAATAATGTTCTTCCCATCAAAGTACTCTCAGGTCAGAAATTATCTGAGGCAGAAATAGAAAAAGTGGTGATTTCACATTAAAAGTCCTATACGAAAGTAAAGGTTTCAACATGAGGATGAACCTAAATATGCTAATATAAATGTATCGAAACACATTAAAAAAGGAGCTGAAACTAAACTAGATCAATCTGTTGACTTTTATTATTATTCAAGTTGTCAAGCTTCTTGTTTCAAACATCATCTAAAACTTTTCAGGGCAGATTTATCCTWATTTGTTTATTAACAGCCAGAACTGTTAACCTTACCTTGTGAGGAAGTTCTTCATGTCACTGAAGACGGTTCTTTATGACTCCTGCAGAACGTTTAGCCTGATGGTCCCCCACAACAGTCTGCATAGTCTGAACCTTCAACACTGAAGAATGTGTCAAGAGAATTGGATGTGAAGTGTCTTGCTAAAAGCTGAAATAATAACTTTAAAAAATCATTTTCTGTAAAATTGATGTGTGAATATTAAATGTTAAACCTACTGAAAAAAMTTAAAATCAGTGGTCAAAGCTAGAAGCAGGATAACACTGGCTAAAAGCTAAAATAAACTAAATGTTACCAAAAGCCAAAAGATTATCTAAAAGCAGCTAAAGGGTAGCTAAAAGTTATAGTAGCAAAAAGGCAAGCTAAATGTTAAAAGCAGCTAATGGGTAGCTGAAAGCTAATGTGGCAAAAAAGTAAGCTAAATTAAGAAAAGACTTGCTATAAGTGCCAAACTTTAGCTAAAAGTTAAAGGTAACAAATGCTAATAGATAAAAGAAAAGTATTAACTAAACATAGCAAAAGAGTGGCTAAAAGTAGCAGAAGACAGAAAAATAAAGCAGAATGTTGAAGTGGATTTCTAACAGAACAATGTTTTTGAAGGAACTGACAAGATGGTGGAAAGATTTGTAAATAAAGTTAAATATTTTTTTAAAAAGTTACAAAATGCTTAAGTCATTTGAACTGTGACGGTGGATAAAATGACTCAAAAGTTAGCARAAGTAATCACAAAATTTGTATAAAAACAAACAAACAAAAAAAAATCATGTAAAGTTGTAAAAACAAAAGTTCCAAACATGGACTTTGTTCAATATACATATAACGTTATTTATATAGGTTAATCTACTATTTTGTGTTCATTTATTACGTTTTTAGTTTTTATAAAATATTTTGATTCTCAGCTGTGGGACCTCCTGAGAGCTCATAAATTAATTTTACCTGTATTTTGGTAGTTTTTTCACTTGTTCGGTCATAAAGGCTATTCTTGCATGAGGCTTATGATGAGATTGGTTACTCACTGTCGATACGGCATCTTTGCAACAAAACGTAAACGAACGGCTTCGTTTCTCTGCTGAGGAAATCTAACTTTGTCATCAGGCTTCTGTGTGAAGCTCTGCAGCGAGATGTTCTGGGTTAACTCAGGTTGTGCTTTTTGGATCTGGAGGTGCACTGCTTCTCTGCTTCAGCACTCGGGGCTTGTTTTTGGTTTGAAAGGCCTTGTCCAGCCTCACCTCTTTAATGCTGACTGCTACTGTTTTTATTGATTTTAATTTTCTTTTGGACTGACATTATGAGAAACTGTGATATTTTTGTTCCTTTTTATTTTATTTTATTTTATTTTTTTAAGTTTTGACCTGCCTTGGATGGAATGTAACCCCCATCAGGAACAGATTTGAAACAAGTCTTTGATATTGATCAGAGCATTACAGCTCATTAAAAAAATATTTGGAATTTAACATTTGAATTCAATTCCATTCAAGCTGGTCTGTGCAGGTTGTGATGTGCGATGGAAGACTATTGCTTCACTGGCAGGACTGCATGCCTGCTTATTGCCAATAATGTGTTGTTTGAGCATAATGCTGATTAATTTCTACCTTGCTGGCTGACGGGGCTGACGCATGTATTTCCATAGACTGGTTTTGGTACAGTGCTCTGAATCTGATTACCAGACATGCTGAAGCTTCGGCAGGTTTTTCCCCGACATGCTGCTGTCACAGGAGCCTACAGTCGAGCAAAACAGCTCCTGCCTTTATTATTATTTWAAAAAAATCTTATTTAAACATTTTACATTCGTAAAAGACGCTGGAAAACCATAATTTGATTCCGGAGGTTTTGTCAGTTTTCTGGGCCTGTCTGCAAATGAGATTCAGAGTTTGTCCAGAAATAAATGTGCATCACCTAATCATACACTCCTCCTCTCTTTGCATACCCACTCTCCCATACGCATGCACATACACTCACTCTCACAACACACACACATACACACACAAACACATGTGTATATCCAATGTAGGAGGCAAGTTGCTGTGCTGCGACTCATGCCCAGCTTCCTTCCACCCGGAGTGTCTGGAGATGGAGATGCCCGAGGGTGCTTGGTCCTGCAGTGATTGCAGGGCGGGGAAGAAACCTCACTACAAACAAATTGTCTGGGTCAAACTGGGCAACTACAGGTAGGCCGAGAGCGTCGATTCAGGCCGGCAGAGGGTTATTCTTCTGTCAGTATGTGGTATGACTACAATTTAAAAATAAAACCCTGGTGCTGTTTTATTTTAGATTGCCAAAAATAAAAATAAATATTGATTCTTGCTTCACACAAAAACAGGATGTGATGTTGAGGGTGATCAGGAAACCGAGCAGAGCTATGCTGTTCTCACACATTTACCACTACCCTGACGTTTTAGCCTTTCTAAGGTAATATATGGGGAAATAAATACATCAGGGTTTCTTTGCTGAGTTCACCCTTCCTGCCCCCGACACATTGTTAAATTACACAGATTTCCCCTCATTTTGCAGGTACACAGATATAAAGGCAATCTCATGGATTTTTTTWAATTCAAAAGGATTTATTTTACATCTCAGAGCCTCTAGGACATTAAAAAAACTAAGTTAAATAACCATCTCCCAACTCACTCTGCTGCTAGAAATAAGTTATCYWCCTCTCCCCGTAYTCCTTTTCCTGCTCCTCTGTTATCTCCACTCCACAGTCTGACTTTTATTGTGAAAATTACAGATTTTTGAGGATCAAGAAACAGCTAAACGTCYGAAGGAAGTTAATTAAATATCAAAACTAGCGTTTGAAGAAATCCTTTTCTTTCTACCCATTTGTCAGGATTGTTGATTCATACATGTAGCAGAAATATCATAAATAAAGACTTTGTGCTGTAGTTTGTGTGTTTAAAATCAAACTCTTTAAAAGGAGYTCTACACAGCTGATCTGTTTTTATTCACTTCTGCCTCCATCCCCCTCTTTTCCTTTACCTGGCTATTGTTTTTATTGAAACATTTTTTTAAATGAGTTGTGTTGTTACGGCTKAAGTTACACACCTGTGAGTGAATAACGTGGTCACACACAGGTGCAACTTCTGCAGTCGAAACAAGGCGACACACATTAATACCTTTTTGTAAATGTGAATAAAACTAAAATAAAAGGCCATAATTTTGCCTCTTTCAACTTTAAGCAACATTTTTTTAATATGGTAATCATCAAACACTTAAATATTTAAACATAAATTAAAAAAGATTGCAGTGTGCTGCATGGACAAAATATTTAACTACATTTACCTTTTTGTTTAAAACAAAAAAGCAAGTACAGGCCTCGGAGCAAAATAATAAAATAAATGGGGTCAAAGGTAAATGAGAGTAAATCTTCATTTCCAGACATTCTTTAAGTTTGAAAACAGCCAAATGTGAACAATTCTCATGGTTTTATTTTGAAATAACATGAGATAAAAACATTTTTTGACAATATTATTCATTTAAACAAACAAATATCAAATAAAATGAAAGTTAGTAGAAATAAGAAAAAAACTTGTAATATGTGCCCCTATAATAATAGTTTCAAACAATAACGAAACAAAAACTTCAGCTCCTAAAC